GCGCCCCCGCGGGCGGGAGACCCGCGCGGGGGGCCTGAGCTGCGACTACCGGCTCCTCTTCGGCAAGGCCGAGGCTGACGAGATTTTCCAGCAGCTGGAAGAGGAGGTGGAGTACTTCGAAGGTAACGGGGAGCCCGCTTCCAGCTCCGTGCCCCCGCCCGGTGAGGTGCTTCCCTGCCCGGCCCGCCCAAGGCGAGTCCCGGCAGATGCCCATGGCCGGGGCAGAGCCGCCGGCTGGCGGCGAGGTTTCTGCCGGCGCCTGGTGTTTGCCAAGTCAGGCCCTGCGAAGTGCAAGCAGAGGTCTGATCCTGCAGGGTTAGTTTTGTTAGCTTGAAGCGCATGCCACGCAGTTTTATTCACATTCTAATGTTTGCAAAGAACCAGGGTAGTCCTGGAAGGGTGACAGGAGTTTGCTGGTAGATGTAGTATACGAGATATCCCCGGTCACATTAATTCAACAGCAGAATATGATGGGGGTGCTAGTCCCGTTAATCCCATTCAAGGGGGAAAGTAAGGCAGTGTCAAACTTGAGCGTTAAGCACTTTTTTGAGGCAGAAGCACTTGAATGCAGATGACAGCTTTTGGGTTGTCATAAGCGTCCTCATTTCTGTTGTCCCACTGGAGATTCACAGAAGCTCCAAATCAAGGAGAATGTTGAAGCTGTGAACTGCAGAGATAATACAGAGTTGGGTTTGGTCCTTCTTATCTCTTCTTTAAACAGGTGAAATGACGAAATTGCATGTGTTTGGCAAGTGGCATGACATTCCAAGGAAGCAGGTAACCTATGGAGACCCTGAGTTAACATACACTTACTCAGGCGTTACCTTCTCTCCTAAGCCATGGATCCCAGTTCTCAACCGTATCAGAGACCGCGTCGCTTTGGACACAGGACATACTTTTAATTTTGTTCTTATTAACAGGTATGTCTGATTTCCAGTTGCATCAAGCAGCTTGTTAAAATGAAAAATTGCTTGTGCAACACTGTTGGCAGATCACTGAGGAGTTATTTGACATTCATTCAGTTAGATTGGTAGAAGAACTAACTAATCTATTCTGTGTACAGATATAAAGATGGTGAGGACCACATAGGCGAACATCGAGATGATGAGAGAGAACTGGTTCCACGCAGTCCGATTGCGTCCGTGTCCTTCGGAGCTTGCAGGGACTTTGTTTTCAGGCACTGTGATTCCAGAGGGAAAAACGCAACGCGCCACATTAAGCCCATCAAACTGCAGCTAGCCCATGGTAGCCTGCTGATGATGAAGTACCCCACCAATGTGTATTGGTACCACAGCCTGCCCACCCGCAAGAAAGTACTTGCCCCAAGAATCAACCTCACCTTTCGGAAAGTGATAACTGTAGCCAAGTGAAATATTCAGCAATCAAGCACCAGATCTTTTGTCTCTGAAAACAGAAGCTTTCTTCCCCAACATAACTATCAATTTCTCGTTCAAACACTGTCTTTGGTGATCCAAGGTACTGGATGAGCAAATTAAACTAGGAGAGGAGATGGCGTACTTGGTAACTTGCTAATAAAGACTGCGACTACTGATCTTAAATGCCAAGAATACTTCTTCTCTGCGAAACGTTGTTGTAGTCCTGCTGATACACGTTTCTAATGAGTAACACCCTTGTTTTGCTCAGGAGGAATTTTGTTGTCAACTGATCTTAATCTAGCCAGTTTTCCAAAAAATACTTTATATCTGTATATACTTTATAAAAGTATAGTTTAAAAATACTTTATCTCTTTATATTTATACTTCTAAAATACTTTATATCCTTCAGATAGCAGTGAAATAGTTTGTAAACACTATGAAGTACAAGATGTAATAATTTAGAGTGAGCCTGGCAGCTGATACTGTGAAACAGGTGACACTTTCTTGTATGCTCTGTCCATGAGCCATGATTTGCTTGTTTTAAAAAATAAAATACAAATGAGACTGACATGAAAAAGAGGAGTGCTAAGATAGGACTGTAATGAGCGCACCATGGCTGGCTGCATGTTTTACAGTCACTGTGACTTCTGTCTGCTTATATTCCTCTGCTGCTCTACGTCCTCTGCTGACATGGGAGACTGGGTTCTTTCGGTCAGTCGCGTGGTGGGGCAGGAGGAAGCACGAGGTGCTATCGCACAGGGAGAGGGCCTCACCTTCCTTCGGTCCTTTGTCTGTACAGAAACCAGGGAGCGTAAGATCACCTTTTGGGGAAAGACTGGGTTGGACCATTTATATGGACAACGCAGCACGAAAGGCTATAACTTCTGAGAGTGTCTGTTTTTCTAAATAATTATCCCTAGGGATTCCATTCTGGCTACCTGAAAGCCATCACCTTCCACGCTGACAGTGAATCCTGCTACTTGAGGAATCGAGCAGTGGTAAGTGCTGAGAATGTGAACTGATCCCCATGTAACCAGGCTACAAGCATCTGAATTAGCGATGGGCTCTGTCCTTCAGTGGTAGGTCCATTAGGGCTACGGAATTAACGTCTGTTTAGACAATTTGGAGTTGGTACTTCCCACCCTCTGCCATTACCAGAAAATGCTAAATACAGCATGAAGAGCTCCTGGATGAATGCATCTTATCCAGAGAATGTGAAGTGCTGCTTCTGTGGGATACACCGAATGCAGTTTGACTTCCAGCTTGGTCTTTGTTTCAAGACATTACCACACGTGAACAGCTACCTTTTCTAATAAGTTTGTTCTTTTATTGCTACTGTACAGTTACAAAAATACCCTGAAGTGAAAACGCAACTTCAAACAGCAGTGCCGTGGTTTGACTATAATATCATACATTTTTAAATAACGCACAAAATAAGACAAAGAGTAATTCAAACACAGAGGTGTCATCTTGGAGGTCTTATCTGATGTTTTTTAACCTTCTGCATTTTATTAACACCTTCGCCACTATGGAAGCTTGTGAGTAACAAGTAACAGCGTTGGATGAGCCTCATGTGCCTGCACAGAGCCCAATGACTTCAAAAGGTGAAGGTTGGGTGGCAAACATCTGCAGAGGTCTTTGATGCTCACAGTAGGCTGGGAATATCCAGCACAGCTCAGGACCAAGGTGCTGACGCTTTGCTGCCTTCCTCACACTGAGGGCTAAGCCAAGACCATCTACTCTTTCCTAACAATGAAAGCTAGAACAAATGCTGACTACTCGACCCTCATCTTTGTAGCCCTTGAGGAAGCTTTCAGAGTAAATCTGCAGCTGAGTGAAACGGAGCAGTTTGTCAGTGTTGTACAGCGACTGTGCTTTCATTCTCATCAAACTGGCCCCTGTTGGAAAGCAGCTTTATGCAAAGGGAAAAGAAATATATTGAACACGCAAGCTTGCAGTGACATGTGGCTTTACGTCCGTGTTACAAGCTGATGAGTTTAAGACTTAGTCCATTGTGTGCGTATGTTCTGACCCACCTCCAGCATTACTGCTTCCTAAACAGAGTGACCTGTTCAGATGAACTTCACAAAAAATCGGAGTTAAAAACTCTAAAGAGACCCTGTTGAGAATAGGTATTGCAGAATATACACTGCTGGCAGTGGAAATGTTTTGAAGTTCTGAGATACAAATGGTGGACCTGCTGGAGCTAGATGCTTTGCGTGATGTTTTTCCTTAGGTGACACCCAGCACTGCTTTACAGAGCTCCTACTGCACGCCCGTGCTGCCCAGAACGGGGGGCTTTCTTCGCTTACCTTCCGCAAGTCTGTTAGGTCTTAGTTCAATGGCCAGGGCATTTTTGGCATTTTGCATCCTTCTAGGTTTTTTGTTTTTCTTGTTATTTTTCCATAACTTAAAATAGAAAGGTTAAAACCATGCTACTGCTAGCCTAGCACTGACAGGGAGACTTCTCAGGAACTAGTTTGTCAGTGGATTTATAAAGACTATTTTATGTACTATGAGCATTACCTGGAGCAGGAATTGTGATCCATACTCTGGAATGATGAGTTGTGTAAATAGTTTTTCATATACATCCATTACCATTCCTATTTTTGCTGGTTTTGAGACTTCCGTTAAGGAACTCCAAATGCCTATGAGCGTTGGGCAGCAATATGAATATATGAGGTACAAAGTTGTCCTAAAAAGCTATTAAGACAGTTGTTACCATTTGAAAACTTAGTTGCTGTTTTACACTGAAAGAGCTTGTCTGATGAATTAGTCTTTTTTTCCTCCAAGCTTACAAGGATAGAAAAGCGCTAAAAATAGCCTACGTACTTTATTCCTGGTAATTTAAAAGCAGTCAAAATGAGAATTTTTGCTGCTTCTCCCTCCCTTTGTTTGGGATTTTTTTTTTTTTTTACATGTCAAACAATCTAGAGCAGCAAAGTGTACCTTACTTCTGTTTATATGGCAATCTGGGTATCTAATGCAGTGACACCAGTCTTTTCAGACAACTGTACTACCTCACAAGACAAGTAAGTGCCCACCAGCCTTGATTCAGTTGCGTATACTCTTAACACGGATGCTTGGGTTGCTGTACATCTCAGCTCACAATCGCAACCGGTACATGCTCTAAAGCTCAACTGCACGCCAGACAGCACGTATCTGAATGGTTGATGAGAAATGGCAGTTTTCAGCACTGAAATAGGAAGGGCAAGTCTAGAACACCAACTGCAGTAGCCTTGAAATCACAGCATTAGAAGTTGTAGTCGATACGACAAGCAATGGTATTCAACAGTTTCATAGTGACAAAGCAAATTGCAATACTGATTGCTAGCAAACGCTTCTGTTTCTTCATTTCAGCTATATTCCAAAGATACAGAGCAATAAATCAGGGTCTTGGCTCTTAGGAGATAAAAAAAATTATCTTTTCTCCTGGAAAAAGGAAACTGCACTTTGAATCAGCAAAGTACTTCTATGATGGATAAAGAACTAAAATATTAGGAAAATGACGTGAACAGGGAAGTCATTTTTTGGATCGTGCATGTTATGTAGAGATACCTTACTTTATTGATTAGCTGGGATATCAAGAGAAATCTGATTCTGTTAGTAGTTCATCCCATCATCTTGAGACATTTATCAGAATGCAGTGGACACGCAGTGGACTCAGACAATGGTAATGTTACTATTCAAATAAGCTCAAGGCACTTTGTTTCTTAAATCATTGCCTTTGATAACGGTAGCTTCCCATCAGCCGCTTCTGGGGCTCCCCTCTTCAGAAACGTCTGCAGTGAAATGTATAGGATTAAGCATCTCCCTTTGAAAATTTACATATATGTCAGAATACAGAATATAGCCTTGGGAAGTCTGTTTGAAATGTCTGTTTCAGAGCTGTGATGTTGACAAAATTACTACCTAACAGAATAAATGCTTCTCTAATACAGCTATACTTTGGACTGCACAACGTTAGCAGACCGACTTTGGGTAGCGTAGTTTTGGTACAAAACACAACTCCCAGCGGGAGCCAGCCATTGCCGTAGAGGGAGGGGAAAGTTAAAGGGCCTGTGGTGGGTTATTTGCATAACAGACAGGAGGTGCAACGTAGATCTCATTAGAGGAATTTTGTCAGTTTGTGTCCTTCTGCTCTCTTAATCACTCTTCAGCCCTCAACTCCAAGCTTTGGTGCTGTACCCTCGAGTGAACACGCTCATAAAAAAGCAAGTAAGCACTAGAAGAAAGGACTTCCTGCAAACTCGCTTTGCGAACGGTGTCATCCGAAATCCATAGCCACTGGCTGCTGACAGAGAGCGGGTTCTTAGGAGAAGGTGGAGAGCGGCGGTAAGTCACAAAGTGTCCCGAATGCATGTCTCCATGGTGAACTACAACTGCCATCAGACGGTAAAGGTATACAGGGGAACTGAAGAACAAATGAGAAGAAGGGTCAGCAGCCCTCATGGATCTCACACATACCAGAAGCAGCCCCACTTGCTTTGCCTTCAGTTGCAATTTCTTTTTAGAGCAAACAGATGGCTCCATAAGAGACGTACTGCCTCCTAATTACTTTTCAGTACACCAAGTCTTCACTGCAGTGCTGCCTTATTCTATTATTGAGAAAACGGAACCATTTATTTTAAAAGTTTATGCTACAGAGGGCTACTACATTTTGTACAGCATAACTGATTGAATTTTGCAACAGCGTTTTCCATCAAACCTACCAATGTGCCAGCATTTAGTTCTTAAAGCACTGTTACTGGACAGAAAAGCTATTCTGGAAGAATGTGCTTTTAACTGAAAAGAGGTAAAATTGCAGCAGGTAACCCACAGATAACAACTGACACGCTTTCAAGGACTTGCTCTACAACTGTCTTCATAACAAACATTTGGCACAAAATGCTTCCAGGCTTCTTATTTCACACAGTGATTGTGGGAATTGTCTTCCCCGTGGGGAAAATACGCAACGGCAAATAGAAGTGGTATAGAACTAAGTATACGTTGGA